GGTTGTCCTTCGAAGCCATCCCGGCAACCGCTCGACGGACATGTATACAAACCCTGAAAGAATCATCTTAAATCAACTACCATCAGCTTAAGAGCATCATAACAAGCTATTCCTATACCAAAATGGCCAACGTTTTTCGACGTCTCCGCCAAGGCATCAAGTCTTGCCAATATGCCAAACTTTTTAATTTAGATCAAGAGTTGGCTTGAGCCATCAACGAACTGTGTGACTTTCAGATACAACCCGCGGTGTACACTTTCAGAATCGACCACACTACCTCAATTGACACTACTTCCGCAATTTCCCTTTCTCAATCTGATCCCCAATCTCTATCTAACATGTCTAGAACAATTTCGCTAACAGGAACAATGCCTACCTGTATCGGTGATATCTGGCTCTGTTCATACACTGACTCATTACTGGTAGACACCGAAGAGCGATGGCGACATGATATTTGGAAAGGATTTATAGCGAGAGTTGGATTATTTGGGGGGGATTATTTGAGAGCATGGTGCTTGGGCGCTTTGCAATGTCATACATTAAGGGTAATAGATAGGTCCTCGGGTTGAGGAAATTTGTTCTTGGAATGTCTTGGGGTGATATTCTCAGGCTGGTGAGGCGCCCTTGGGCAAAACGGATCCAAGAACTACAACTTCACAATTCGAATTTCAGTTCGAGTAAAGTGGGACAGAACTCCAGGGAATTTTGCCTACATAGATTACTTCCCATCGTGACTAGTATAACTGCCACAGTTGTATCTACCTGAAACATTCGTCTTTACCGAGCCAAAGCCACACATCTTGGGTTAGGTGAAAGATCTATATGCACAGTCGTACCATTTAGTTTATTCAGTTCTTACTCTTTTTATGCATATTGGGCCATAAATTGGACAAAGCGGGAAAAAAAAATGATAGGGCCGTTTTAGTTTCAGCGAGGTTAAACCATGAGATTGGGAGAAACAAAGGAAAGGACGACCTAAGTCTCGGTTTCCCTTTTCAGACGAAGATCTTTGTTTCGAATTGTCTTTTGATCTAACTCCCAATCTCTTTTTCAATGCGTTTGTTGTCTTTCTTGTCGTGTCTGTGAGGTACTTAAGGGCCACTGTTTCTTGCTTTGCCATCTTCCTTCAACATCCAAGATACCAGATGCCAAAATTCTCTTCCTTCTCTTTCTATCCCATAAAAAGTCTTTAAATCATAGCAAGTCCACCTGCAACCAGATCGCAACTTCTTCACGGATTTACCTGTATCAATCCCCACGACTTTGTTGGGAGCAAGACAGTATTTCGATCATGCCCATCGACATTGACCACGCGAGAAATTATGCAAGCTCCAGGCAGACCACGACTCCTCTCTCTTCTCAAGAAGAGAAAGATCTCATACTGGAAGCCCTCGCTTTGCGAAAAGAAAAGCTCAGAGCTCTTGCAAGTATCGTTAACAACATGTCTGCCGAGCTGACTGATAGAGAGATCGTCCATATGTACTATCGGGTGGAGGTTGGCTCTTATCTCTTACCAGCTTCGAACTTCATCGCCAACGAGAATCCCTCCGAAGCCGAGGCTATGGTCAAGCTTGCTAGAGAATCTGCAAATAAATCCAAAAATCCGCTCCTGGTTGCCAAGTGTGAATTCTGGATGGGTCGAGTTGAGTTTCTACGCGGAAACATGCGCAAAGCTCACGAGCACTTCGTAAAAGCGAATCTTTGCGCCATGGATCCGAAAGAGGGCGTCGAATGTCAGGACTTGAGCTTTTTTCTGGATATTACCAGGCATGGAATTAGTGAGCAAACTCGGGCTGCAAGACTACGTGCTCATGAGGAGGCTATCGCTGCGCACGTGCGATTTGACAAGACTACGAACAACTCTGTCTCGACCGAAGTTAAACGCAAGCGACCATTGAGAACATGGAAAGGGGCTCTCGTCAAACTACAGCTACCATTGGTCAAGCAACGCCCACTTGCTAAAATCAGAAAGCCCCGGTGTAAGGTGCCGACTCGACGAAAGGTGGACGAGAAACATCTGCAGCAAGAGATCGACGATGAGACAAGCTTGAAGAACGAGGTTCTTGGAAAGGTCCTTGCAGAAGAGCTTGGGTACGAGACTTGGAGCGATTCTGAGGATGACACCGATACCGATACTGATAATGAGTCTGATGACGATCACAGCGGAGACCCTGCAGATGGTACAGATGACACCGCAGATGAGAAAGCAGAAAAATCTCCAGATGCTCCTGATAAGCCCCGAGAATCAGAGCCCTCCATTGACCCACCCACGGCCCCGGTCAAAGTTCCGTCTGATCAAGCCGCGTATGAAATGCCCAAGCCGGGATCGGCCCGGGCCCGGTTCAGACAAGAGTGTTTCCATATGGGCCTCACATCAGTCCTCAACGGAGAACCCTATGAGCGTCCGAAAGAACCATTTGTGTTTGGAATCCCCCACGAACCGACAAAGCAAACCCAGTTTCGGCTTGGGTTTTTCAAGGTTGGCCTCGCAAAACGCTGCCGCCCAATGACCATTTTTCCAAAGCAGGATGGTGAAATCACTATTTCTCCCGAGGAATGGAAATCTATCGAACATGATGCTCGTAATAAGATTGTGACCTATGAATACTTGCGGAGGGAGAGATATGAACTAATTAAGGTTGCCGAGGAGATGTGACTTGGGGGCTGATGGAAAACTGCAGATCTCTGTGTGGCATATGTGTCTAGATGTATGTGGGAATATATGTATGAATAGATTGGTTCAAAATTTTTTTTTCCCTTTCAACACTGGTTCAGACGGTATAGTATCAAGTAAGGGGCTGAAAGAATAAAGCAACAAAAGAATCCCTGCAATTCAATTCATCTCTAGGGTGTGCTACTGTTCCAAACCATAGCAGCTGGTGTGAGCGAAGTCCATTAAAAAAAACCTTTGAGATATAGATTTGATTCCAGTCCTCGATTCCATCAATTGGCCTAAATAGCTGAACAGTTTCCTGGTCTAGCGGTTATGATTTTCCGTTAACAAATGCGATAAGCATGTGTTCCGGAAAGGTTCTGGGTTCGATTCCCAGGGAAACTATTTTTGGACTCTTTTTCGGGTTACCTTTTTTTTTACATCAAAATCAAACTTGTTCATCTCAGTCAAAGGCACTACTTTTGAGTGAAAAGTGTAGGATGCATTGTTTCGATTGAATGTCTTCTATCTCCAAAATGGCATGACAGCGCCACTGAACCTTCTAAAACTTTTGTCTGAATAATTCGACCCACTGTCCAAGATTTAAAAAATTGGGATTTCAAATGAAAAATTAAGTAAAATAAGTGCGCTTCCAAAGAATGATCATGAGGGAATCAAAATATCAAAATCTAAACAGTGAGGAAATGGGGAGCGTTAAGGACCAATCCCATCAAGCATCCACCGATCGTTCCAGCGATGGGAATGGTCATGATCCAAGCAACCAACAAAAGACCGACACGCTGGAAGTTGACGGCCTTGTAAGTTCCATTGCAAAGTCCCACACCGACTGTAGCGCCAGTAATGCACATGGAGGTGGAAACGGGCAGGGAGAACTGCGAGAAGACTAGAACCGTGATGGCAGCACCCATCTCCATGGAGGAGCCACGGGACGGGGAGTGGTAAGTGATCTTGTTGCCCATGACTAAGTGTGCAGTTAGTAAAAAAAAAATTGAAGAGTGGCAAAAGGATAGAAGGGTGTGCTCACCTTTCATGATGTTGTAGCCGTAAGTGCACAGGCCGATGGAAATGCAGATGGCTAGGACGGCGAGCTGCCAGATAGGCACGGGGGACTTGGATGCAGCGGGGGTTCCGGTGGACCAGGCCGAGTAAATGGCAGCCCAGGGGCCAACGGAGTTGCCAATATCGTTAGCACCGTGAGCGAACGAAGCAGTGCAGGCAGTGATGATCTGGATGAAGGAGTAGGTGTGCTCAACCTCGTTAGGGTATTTTATGGCATTGGCGTAGACACGCTTCATGCGCTCACCCTCCGGAGTACCCTCATTACCACTCTGGGCAGTGTGAATGTCGTAGTGGAAACCATAGAGAAGGCCGACCGTGATGATAGCGGGCAGGCGCTTGGCCATGCGCTTCATGTTGCGGAACTCATAGATCTCTCCGGCGCCCATGGGGTTGTCGCGGAGAAGACGCATAGCCCAACCAATGGGACCACGGCTTTGGAGGAGCTTGGCGTTGTGACGTTCCTCGGACTGCGCCATAATTTCACGGTAGGTGAGCTGGTTGGCCTCGACCCTATCAACGGATCGCTCCTCCGTAGAGCCCGGGATGGAGGCAACACCGGTCTTGGCCTCCTTCTCATCGACAGGCAGGTGAGACTCGTGGTACTCGTCTTCCTCTTGTACCACAGCATAGTTGGGGATCTGAGCGACCTCGGAATCGGTAGGAACGGGACGGTTGAAGAGCAGAGGGCCCTGGATGACCGTCCACCATTTCACACTGGGGTCCTTCTTGATGATGCGGGCGTGGAGGAAAGGAACGAAGAAGATGGCGGACAAGAGGCAGACACCACCACCAGTGCCCATAGTGACAGCAGCAACGTACCAGCCGGGCTTCTTGTTCAAACCCAGCTTGGGAGAGCCCTTGTACACAATGGAGAGGGTGCAAATGGTAGCAGCAACCAGGAAGAAGAACGGAGCACTCCAGACGGCCCAGGCGATAGGGTTTCTGCGTACATGTACGGTGTACTTAATCAACAGGAAGATGATGGCAGCGAAGCAACCGGAGATGACAGGAGCCATGCCAAGACCAGCGAAAATGGCACCGAGACCTTTGCCATCGTTCCAACCCCACTGAACCTGCGAGGCACCAACCGTTGCAACACCGACACCGGCGACAGCAGAGATAAGAGAGTAGGTGGAGGAAACGTGGGCGGAGTTTTTGGTACACCACATTACCCATGAGGATGCAGCGGCAAGGGCACATGTGAAAGCAAGCATTTGAACGCCGGCATTGCCTTTGAAGGCTGAGTTGGGAATGATGCCGTTCTTGATAGTATCAGCGGTGCGAGCACCGACAGCGACAGCTCCGACGAATTCGAAAATGGTGCCGAGGACCATGGCCTGTCGGTAGGAGATAGATCGAGAAGAGACACTGGTGGCCCATGAATTGGCAACATCGTCTATGAAGATTCAAAGGTTAGAGGTCAACCCGTCGAAGATAAGCTCTGTGCTACTCACTTGCACCGTTGTTGAATGCATCTAGCATCGCGAACAACGTGCCGATGGCAAAGATGTAATCATATTGGTGGAGATACATCTTGATGGCTTGTACCAATTCAAATGATTCCCAACCAAGTGAAAGCTTAGCGTTAGACTTTCGGTTGCTCTGATAAAAGAAGAGAAACAAAAGGGTAAAGTGAGAAGACAGCCTTCTTATGTATGCATCGAAGATTTTCAAAGGTTGATACGGGCCCCTCTGCTCTCTACGCACGACAAGCCCTGTGGCAAGTGTTCTACACCCAGGAGAACTTCCCGTTTGGGATACTCCGACCACACGTGCTGGTCCTACTCGCAATGGAAGCCCATGAATCACCGTTCGTGGGCTTGGCACAAAGTAAATGTAGCAAGGCCTAGCCAGGAGGGAAAATATCACGTTTCCGCAAGCCTGTGATCTCAAGCAAATTGGACGATGTCTTGGCAGTAACCTGGGCGGAACTTTGTATGTTGAGATATACTATGGAAGAGATCCAGATTCGGTCTAGATCCAGTGGAATTCGATGGAAATGACATCTGATTGGCTCAGAGGACACGGCCATTGGAGGGTTGAGGCTCTTGGCGGGGGTGGGGGTATACGGCCCGCCTCTGCCTATGAGAGCACTGTAAGTCCACACGTGGGTGTGCAAGAGGCCTGTCCCCGGAATATCTCTCGAGGTCTCTCGCATGGCTTGCTTATCTTCTAGAATTTATCCTTGCTGTTTGCAGGTTTTACTCTTGCCAAGCTGGTGGATCGGGTGTTCCGAGGCGAGCGCACGTGCCCTTCGCGTTGTAGGAATCTACAACGGTTGACATCCAGAAGCAATTTGTAGCGATGAAAAGGAAAAAAAAAGGACCAGTGAGGTATCTGACTCTCAGTTCGGTACCCCAATTCCAAGGTATTTGCCAGCCCAATCCAATTTCATCTGCAAGATAACCATCTGTCCACGTGCAAGGTACATAGGACTACATATCACGAATGAGAACCGAAATATTAATAATATCAAACGATGGAAGATAACAGAAGAGAGCATACGATAATCCCTGCGTGAATTTCTATGCTTTTGCCCCACTCATTAGAGGCGTTCGTACCTGTTCAATTCTCCGACCTAGAGCTGGTCGACCTCAGCTATGCTTTTCGCCATGCTGGATTTTGGTAATCCCCTTAAGAGCAACAGAGCAGAGGGCTCAGATGGCATTCCCAAGTGATTCAAACAGAACACCTTGGCTAGCCTCAACCAAAGAAGCGGGCAAACCGAACAGTTACGCATTTGTTAGATCATCATTGAACAGTGGAAAGTATGGCAAGATATTGCTTCTTGTGAATTCAGACACATCGAAGCATTTCATATTGGGATTGACTCAATACAGGCTGAGTAAATATGCTTTGTCAGCTCTACAGCCACACTCTCGCTCACCGGAATGGCCCTTCTCAACACCCACGCGAACCGTATTCTTAACTCGATCCTTCCCGTTGTTCACATATCAAATGTCGTCTCATGAACATCACCTTCGTCACGTATAGGCTGCTTTGCCGACCGAGGAATCGACCAAAGGCCAATCGTCCAGGTGTCGTCTGAGCATGATTCAGATCTATCAATTTTTGCCGCAGACTTCGAAGCTCGCAATGCTGGGAGTGAAAGAGCAACAGAAACGGCGCTAATCTCTGACCACCACAACGTACGGAGAATGAAGGTGCGCCCATCCGAGTGTTGGAGGGCGACTAACAATTCTGTGCTCTGTGAGTTAGCAGGCAGTGGTCGAGAAAATGGCAATTGCTTACAACATTGCACTAAAGGGATCGATGTTACCAATTCCATTTCGTTCCCTGCCCATGAAAAAAAGAACAAGAACCGACGCACAGAGCTCCCACGCAAAGTAAAAACGGCAGGGCTGGCTCTCTTGATAGCTTTTCCAGCAGCGAGAAGACAACGCAATCGAGTCGCAGACAACAGTGAGCACAAAAGTCGAAACTGAAGAAAATCACCGAGCTCGTGCATTTGCCCCCTGCGCCGCTTCACAGAGCAGCGAAGGGTACACTATACAGAGCGACAATTATTGTCTGCAATACAGACACATCCGTTACAAAAGCGAAGTTAAAACGAAGATAGGAGGTGAATCGCGAGATGAATCGCGAAAGGAACATACACACAAGTTGAGCTCCGACAAGCTACTTGGACAAGTGCACCAAGGTTTCCCAGTATTTGTTTATGCTGCAGGATGCTGGCCAGAGCCGAAGGCGTAAGACTAACTGAAAATGCTCTTTATCGATTGATATTTGATCTAATGCTGTCTCTATCGATCGGTCGTTCTCAGAGTCAACATTTCCATTGTAGTGGGGAGCTGGGTACAGAAATGCCCCAGCCGCAACCTTGCTCACTCACTTTGAGCGACTCAAACTAAGAGTGATCCTGATAAGGGACTACAATATCGAGAAAGTGAATGCTAGAAAAGAGTGGGTATTCAAAATCCAGTTACGGCTATTCCGTCCGAATGGCCTTGCAAGATTCAAAAATGTTCGTGCAATTAATCGAAAAAAGGAAGAAAGGAAAAGAAAGGGAAATCACCGACCGCGCAAGCGGTCCCGCAGCCTCCCGCAGCCTGTCATTGGTTTCTCAACAACGGCAGTGGGAATAGCTTGCAAAAGGAACCCGATGGGAATAGAGATTGCACCAAGCACGATAGAATATGCCCATTGGTCGCCAGTCAACTGCGTGATTGAGAATGCCCGCCCGCCAACGAACATAATCAGGATTTGAGCGCCCATCATGACAGAAGTAATTGCTATGAAGAGCCAGTTGTGATGAATTCCTTCGACGAGGTTAAATGATCGCTCAACTTGTCGATTGCTGTTTTTGTGTTAGCAATGCCCCAAAAATTAAGGCAGTCTTAGCATACTTGTACATGTTGAATATCTGCATCCAGACATATGTGTTGAAAACAGCAGTATGTAACTGTGATGTTTGAATAGTGTTTTTATAGGAGAAGATAGAAGAGCCCGCGAAGTACAGAACGAGTGTTACTATCATCTGATACACAGATTGACCAATGATCATCTTCCACATGGTAGGAGTAATCAAAGGTGTCGATATTGGTTCAGGTTTACGGTCAAGGATCCGGCGAGGAGGAGGGTCGGTTGCTAGTGCCAGAGCTGCTAGCGTGTCTTGAAACAGGTTTACCCACATGAGCTGCACTGGTGTCAGTACCGACTCCTGCGATGAGTTGGCCACCGCCGAGACAAATGCCAGACCCACGGAGGTGAAGGTGATGGTAATTTGAAACTGAAAGAAGGATATCAGATCAACCGGATAATTCTACGATTTGTTGATAAAACTTTTAGCTTACCTGCAAAAACTTTTTGACGGCATCGTTGACTGCCCTTCCCCACATGATAGCCTTGACAATCGAAGAAAATGTATCATCCATCAAGACAATAGAGGAAGCTTCGCGAGCAATTTCAGTGCCAGAAATTCCCATCGAGAATCCGACATCAGCAGCTGCGAGGGCAGGGGCATCGTTGGTGCCGTCTCCAGTGACGGCAACGATTCTTCCAAGATCCTTCAGACGCTGTACCAGAACCCGCTTATCATCTGGACGAGATCGAGCAAGGACCTTGAGACGTGGAACTAGCTCCCTCTGTTGTGATTCATCGAGCATACGGAACTTATCGCCTTCCATCACAAGATCATTTGGACTGCTGATGATTCCACATTCTTCTGCAATGGCTCTTGCTGTAAGAAGGTTATCACCGGTAACCATGCGCACAGCGACACCTGCTTTATGACTGGTCTCTACGGCGCCCAAAGCCTCTGCCCGGAGAGGGTCTCGCAGGCCCAGAATTCCTTGAAATGTAAGCCCTTTCACCAACTCCTCGAAGTCGACGGTTTCTTCCTCGCGTCTGAAGGGCAAAAATTCCACATCCCGGAAGCAAATCGCAATTGTGCGCAAGGATCTTGATGCATATTGAGAAATCGCCTGGCGTATCTCGTCAATGCAATCTTCCCTAACAGGAGCGGTACTCAGCCCTTGCATTGGCTGTACAACTGTGGCTGTGCACTTTTCAAGGAGAATCTCAGGAGCACCTTTCACATATGATCGATATAAGCCACTGGCCAGTTTGACAACTGTGATCATATATTTGCGAGAAGTATCAAAAGGTAAAAGACCAACAACGTCCGCACTAGCACGATCAAAGTCAAGCTGACCTAACTCGAGATAATCCCGGGAGAATCTCAGTAAGGCGGCCTCAGTTTGGGATCCAAGAAACTCCCGGCCTCCATCATATTGGCTTTCAATTGCGGTTGAGTTGATCGCGATAGACTGCCTCAATAGCGACTTCGATTGACCAGAGAAACGACTCATGCACTTTGCCACAGACGAGAACTTATCTTCATCAAAAAAAATTGGACTGCTAGCCCGATCAGTATACTGCAGGGTAGCACCGAAGAAACCCGAGACGACAGTCATCTCATTCTGTGTCAACGTCCCCGTTTTATCTGAACAGATATCCGTGGCTTGTCCCATCGTCTCGCATGCTCGGAGCTGTCGAACCAAGTTGTTGTCTCTCATCATTCGAGTAGTGGCAAATGACAACGCAAGTGTAACTGCCAAGGGAAGTCCTTCCGGGACTGCGATCACAACGACGGTCAAAGCCAGAATGAAGACATTCAAAAAAGATTGTCCCCTTTCCGAGGCGGACTCGGTGCTATTCCGGAGGCCAACGCAGAATTTGATGAACAAGATTACGAACAATACAAGCGCCGCAAGTGCACCAAAGCGGGCGATATTCTTTGCAAGATTACTGAGCCGTACTTGAAGCGGAGTGAACCCTGGATCTGTGTCAAGAGAGAGAAGGATTCTTCCGTAGCTTGATTTCGTGCCTGTAGCCAAGACGAGGTACGCGCCGACGCCTTCCACGATCTTAGTGTGAGAAAGAATGAAGGGATCGATCTCATGAGAGTCTTTAGGGAGAGCTGTCTCGACAGCGCTCTTAGCGACCGGATCAGACTCGCCAGTTGCCGAGGACTCATCGCATTTCACCTGATGACCCCATATCAATACCCCATCAGCAGGCACGATGTCCCCTGGACTGATGTGGACAACATCACCAACAACAACCTCAGAGATGGGAACTTCATCAACCCTCGCAGATCGAAGGACCCAAACATTACGATCTTGCTGCTTCTTATTCAATTTCCGGAATTTGTGCTCCTTTTGGAAGTCATTCGCGGCACCGGCGAGAGTAATGACGATGATGGCGACAAGGATGGCAACACCCTCCACCCATTCAACGGGCGGGTCATCAGCAGTATGCTTGGTTCCGAATGTCTGGTACAGTCCCAAAGCAAGTGAGATAACAGCAGCCCCAGTCAGAAGAAATAGGACGTGGTCGTTATAGGCTGCCCACATCAATGACAGGAAGCTCGGGGACGGTTTTGTAGGCAGGCGGTTGTCCCCGAAGAATTTCTTTCTATCGACGAATACATCATAACAAAGCTCTGTCGGGATAGAGAGCTCAGCGGCAGTAGTATTTTCTATTGGCGCAGTGCTTGTAGTACTAGCAGCACCTAGGCAGGTCTCGTCCAGGCTCAGGCCGGTGCGGATGTCGGTTCGCAGTCCTTCCTCCAAACCTTTTATCCCACCGAGTGAATGAAACTTCTGGAGATCTTTGGATTGTACAAGGTCGCTTAACTTCTCAGGATCAAGGGAAAATGCCGAAAAAGTCGACCGAGTGGATTGTTCCGTGACACGTTCTGATCGCGGGCTCTTCTGTGTATGGTCAGTAAGATGAATTTTCAGGTCTCATCATCGTTGAACTTGCTATTCGTGACCAAAAAGGCATAGAAGACCCATTGGTCCCTGAAGCCGGCATCATTTCATTGAGAATGTCATCGGGGGGAACTAGATAGATAAAATGAGATAGGATATCTGGAAGTGAATGATTGCTCTGGCAAAAATACAAATACGTGTTAAGGGAAAGACATCGTAAAATACAGCTCGGTGCATCTTGGGGGATTTCAAATTGGTTGCCATGTACAGATCAGTAAGGTCTATAATAATTATTAACAATGATCCAAAGAACATGATACAGGTTGTCAATTTTGGTTTCAATTTTTTCATGATACGTTAGTTTGTGCTCATACAGTGACATCTGGGAGACATGCTACGCTACCTGGGGTCCACACCATTCTGTGTATATGATCAAGGGCGTATATCAACCGGAGATCATTCAGTCGGTCATTAAGTTAGTGCCTTCCCTTTTAGGTCTTTTGACTAGCCATGCCGATGTTCGGGCATGCAGCTTGACTATCTACCAAAATCCATTCCAAGGTAGGCAACTAGGTATCTCACAGGGATATGCTGTCTATTGCACGTCCTTCAGGCAAGCCTCAGAGATTACACAAAAGGACAGGTCTTGGCAAGGAGGCTGTGCAAAACAGAAGACAAGTCAATGCCCAAGGCTAGCTGACCCCCTCAGCCCAAGTGGATCAAAAGCTGACATTTTGTCCTTGAGCTCAAATGATTCAAAATGGACAACATTGGTCAATACTGGCTAGGTATAGACTAGGTCATTCGGAAACGCGCCTCCACATTCCAAGCCCCAGAAAGAGTCTAATTCAACGTGCGCTGTGCATTCTGATCTGCCGCCTTTACCCACGCCACTCTCCTTAAATCCTCCAGCGCCGCTATGGTATCTGGATGGTCTGTTCCAAATGCTCTTTCCCTGCGAGAATATACCGTTTCAGCCATTCTACTAGCGATCTCCCACTTGCTTTGCGACTGATATATGAAGCCCAGATTGGCCATCGCGCTGAGTGTGTGCGGATGGTCTTTGCCAATCGTCTCTTCCATCAAACGCAGAGACTGAGCGGCGAGGATCTCGGCATCTGGCGATTTTCTCATCATTTGGTATGTGACTGCAAGATCCACCATAGCTACCAGTGTGTGTGGGTGACGTTCCCCAAGGACCTCTTTCATCCCAGCTATTGCTTTCCCTCCAAGATCTTTGGCTTCTTCTAGGCGACCCTGATTGCGATATGTTGAGGCAAGGTTGCTGATAGACATTAGGGTTTGGGGGTGTGTTTCGCCGAGCACGGCCTCACTGCTAGCCACAACTTCTTTCTCAAGGCGCTCAGCATCCGACCACCGGGCTTGTTCACGACATGTCGATGCTAGATTGGCCATAGAGGTCAAAGTGAAGGGATGGGCTGTCCCAAATATGTCACGACTGACAGCAACGACCTCCCGTTCTAGCTGTTCGGCGGAATCCAGCCTCCCCTGGTCTCGGTAGGTCGACGCAAGTGTAAGTTTCCAGTTTAACAGCGAGGCATCGGTCGGAAATAGTTCTCTTTCCCCAATTTCGACCAGTTTGCGCGAAATTGACTCAGCCTCTTGATACCGACCGAGATTGGCATACGATATAGCCAAGTTAGACATTGACCCCAAGGTGGATGGATGCCTAGGACCAATAGTATTCCTCTTCAACTCGACAATCCTCGCATCAAGTTTCTGAGCATCCAGCCAAAGCCCTTGACTCCGATACGTGCAAGCTAGATTCGTCATCGAAGTCAATGTCTGGGGGTGCGTCTCGCCAAGAGTCTTTTGTCTCAACTTGGTCACCCGGGCAGAGAGAGCAGCAGCCTGATCCAGGTGCCCTCGACCCCAATACGCCGAAGCAAGATTGTGCATCGCTGTCATAGTCATGAAGTCTTGTTCTCCTTTTAGGCTCTTGCAGGAGTCCAGCACCAGAGTGGCCAGATCTTCGGCAACAATCCATGATTTGGCTTGCATCCACGTTTTCACACAAGCTGCTAGCTCTTCGAGTGTTATTGTTGTTGCATCAGAACCCGTTCCTGCTGCGAGTATCCTATTCCCCGCTGTTGTCATTGCCGACTCCAGGTCTGTGGCCTCGGTCGTCCAACTTCGGCCATGGTAGGTGGCTGTGAGTTCACTGACCTCCCTCTGGAGCGACTCGAGGGAGGGAGGGCGGTTATCCATAGATCACAGGCAGGGCAGCAAGGAGTTTTCAACTCTGGGGCAGTTTGATGGTTTTTTTTTTGTGTGGATGGCCTGATAGGCGGGTTCTTGATCACTTACCCGTAATGGAGGTTCTTTGGGGTTGTCGATTGATTAGATCGTGATGAAGACAGGCTTGCGCGACCGATCTGCGACTCTTTCAAAGGAGAATAACGATTATGAGCCGTAAACGCATTGACAAGGTGGGTGTGGGGAGACACGAACGCTCCGGTTAATGACAATACAGAGCAGAGAGGGGTCAAATGGAGACGGTGTTCGCCGAGTAATCATTGTAAGGTAATGTAGCGATCGTCATTCCACATAATCGAAACATTTATAGCTCAACCCTGCATAGTATCTTATAAGGCTGAGAACTGTATTCCCTATAGGAAATGCTGTTGCCTGACAGCTGCATACCGTATGTATACACAACACTGCACCAAACGGGCAAATGCCGGCTTCAGCCCTATCAGGTAATCCAAAGTCCACATGTGGAGACGAGGTAATTCAGTTTCGCGCTAGTAATAGGGCTGTAACTTCAATTAAGGCTGAAAGTAACTAGTACCCGATTTTGTACCGTGGTAACGTTTGAAACAGAACTGTCGGGGACGAACATCTGAACTCAGGTGATCCCCGGGTCGCATCTTACTCAAGTTTCAGCATTCAGAGGTTGCCCGGATTCCTTCAGATTCATCATGTCTCGCCGAGGCACCCACCCAGAGTCTTGTGGACCAGAGTCCAGTCACCAATCGCGTCAACAAATTCAAGATGCAGAGATAGACCCGTGGACTCACATCCAGGGGTTCTTCAAGATGCCATTGCAAACAGGACTGAATACACTGAATAAAAATCATGGATGGCTGGTGATGGCCCTGGTACCTCTGGCTGGTCTTGCAAAGATCCTTCATTGGAACCCGATCATAGTTCTCGTGGTGAATATCGTTGCCGTCATCTTTTTGTCGCAGGCAATATCTATCTCATCCGATGAGCTCTCTGCACATCTCGGAGAGCTGCAAGGGGCACTGCTCAGTGCTACATTTGGAAATACAGTAGAGCTCACGGTGAGTCGCAATTTTGCTCCGAATGTCGAAACGCCAGAATGCTCACTCAGCCCAGGCAGGAATTCTGGCTCTGGTTCATGGAGAGATTCCATTTGCGCAGTCTGTTATGGTTGGCAGTATTCTCTCGGACATTCTACTTGTAAAGTCTCAACAATTTTGGATATCCCAATGCAGACCAAGATCATCCGACTGACAGCCAAATCTAGGTCTTCGGCTGTTGTCTCGTCACAGCTTCGTACAACAAGGAAGTTTTGGAGTTCAACAGCGCTCTTGCAAAGACCCTGTCTTCTTTGATGATGATCACAGCCGTGGCGATGCTTCTTCCAACGGCTCTGTACTCGACTTTCCCGGCATCCGAGATCGATGACAGAGTGCTATCTTTCTCACGAGGAACGTCATTCGTGATGCTTGCGCTCTACGGAGGTTACCTCTACTTCTACCTCGGGACTCACAAGCACCTCTTTCTTTCCAATGAGAGCGAATCTAGTGATGCTGATGAAAACCACGGAGATTCATCCCCCGCCGCCAGCCCAGCCGGCTTGGCTTCATCAATGATCCGATTGATAACTGCCGTGGCTGCAACCGTCTTTTGCACAGAGCTCCTGCTAGAAAGTATCGGCGACATGACACAGACGCTCGGACTCTCTGAAGTTTTCATCGCGATCGTTTTAATTCCAATTGCTAGCAATAGCACCGAGGGAGTTACTGTCGTTACGGCATCCCGTACAGGAGACACAGACTCTGCAATCCGGGTTATCATTGACAGTCTCCTGCAGATTGGTCTATTTGTCATACCCTTCTTGGTGATTATCGGCTGGTGCATTGCTGAACCGATGACGCTTTTCTTCGACTCGTTCCAGACGGTTGCCATGTTCCTTGCAATTCTGGTAGTAAATCATCTACTTCGTGATGGACAGTATGCTTCCATCCATGGTGCGATGCTAATTGCACTGTAAGTCTCCCTAGATTCTTTGCCGAGGTCTAATCATCCTTTGCTCATACTTAATTATAGATACTCTAGTCTAGTTGTGGCGTTCTACGCGCGCTAGATTGGCCAAGGGGTTTGCCATCTCAATTCAACTTTAGGAGATACGCCAAGTAACGAATGATGTAATATATCAGGACTGGAGGAGCCTAGGCGCCTAGGAAAATCACATTGACCGGTACCTCAGGCCTAACAAAGAACGAGAAAGTGATGATTATGTATCTGTTAAGAGAAAGCCAAGTTAGAATCGACGAACACCAAGCTCAACAAAGCGATACGAGCGACTCACGTTCCAATCAACATCAACCCCTCGAAGTAATTGCTCCGCCCATCAGACATGAGATAAGTCATTACCACAACACTAAGTAAAAGCGTCGTAGCTTCAAATCCATCAAACCTGAGAATGAGCGGCTGGTCGAAAGCCCAACCAATGAGAACCAACAGCGGAGCAATAAGCATTGTGACCCGCAAAACATTGTTAATAACCGCTCTAATCCCAAGTTCAATCTGACTGTAAGACCGAGATCCCACCACAATGGAGTGATACTTGACCGAGTTCCCGAGTAGGGGAACAAGCGTTACAGCAAGGAAAGACTGGTTCATACCCGTGATTGCAGCAGCCCCGTTCAAATTGACGACTATGAAATAAGTGCACGCCAGCGCAGAAGTGGACGCAGCTACTAGGAATATAGCTGCTGCACCCTTGGCGATATACGGCTGCGGGATCTGGACCTCGACGATCTGGCTTTGGCGAGACTGATGGCCGCTGTGGGTGTGATCTCGCTGACTGAATGGGGTGCTGGCAAACATGACTGCATGGGTGCCGAGCCGGAAGACGAGAAACGTAAGGTGTAGAAGGGTGAGGATAATGGCTGTCACGCGTTGCGTTAAGAGGAGTTGGTCTTCCGAGGTGGTTTTGGCGGATGGAAAGACGTCCATGATGGTTGGGAGCGCGAGGAGGATGAAGACAACCATCATGAGGGATGAGAGGACTGTTGTGAGGGTTCGATCAAACCAGAGACGCTTTTGGTCATAGCCCGAGACGAAGATGGTGCTGCCAAGCACCTAGATGCACAGTTTGTATCAACATGGCATCAGTGTTTAGATTTGATGCCGGGATTTACCAGTAATAAATTGCTCAAGACACTTCCAAGTATCACGGACTGAGAAATATGTGGTTGCTTCTGGAGGATCGCATTGATTCCTATCTGGAGAAACGTCGTCAGTCTATGGTTGAATTGAAGATGGAGTTCCGGGGCATCACCATCAATTCGACTGAGTTTCCCAGTGTTGATTTCACTACTTCAATGACAGCTCGGCTACCACCTAGAGCCAGCGCATTGACTGATCTGTTAATCCATAATGTAAGTGGAATTAGAGAGACAATGTTGAGAGTGAAGATGGCAGCACTGTTCCACTTCAGGGCTCCTCCAGTGATACCAATGAGAGGCATCAAAAGTGACAAGAGGCCTAGGTGGTGCTGGACCTGTGCCATGATGGAGTTGCAATATACCATAGTTGAGCCTCGATTGGGAGACATGATCCATCGAGGGAAAAAGGTGCAGTTGAGAGAATTCGCCCGTCTTTCCAAAGTGCACACCAGTAAATGAGGCCCGGTGTATCACCGTAATATTTCCAACCACATCCTGTCACGTCTTGTAATAAATGGTAATAATCCGTTACCGACCAAAACATACCTGTATTTTAATCTGCAGGGGTCTTGAAGTAGAACAATCTTACGCAATCCCCCAGTTACACTAGTGTGTACGCAGATGCCTAGGACTCAAAAGGCAGGGGAGTATTACATGTACATCATCCCCCTCACCCTTCCGAGGTCGACCCCGATGTTTCTTAGTCTCTTTCCTCACCGTGATGAATAACACAGCTCACCCCCGGCTGCGAAAGTCAACCAAGATGGGCACCGAAATCATGGCTGCCTCTCTGGAATCAAGTATGGCAGCCCATGAGCAAGATGCATTACTCAGAGACGAGCCTGGACGCGAAAACAATGGAGAGGAACCTGCAGAGTTGCGTGACACAAACGACCCCGACTCGAAGCGCGTTCTGTTCGTAAGCAACTCTGTTTTACGTGTGATTAAGACTACAATGGGATGCAGCTATTCCAATTTGCTACTGCCGTTTGTGTTTTTAGGTTTAATTGCGGGGAGTCAAGGATGGGGTGACTCGATTTCCTTCGTGTTCAACTTCCTGGCGATTCTTCCTCTCGCTGCGTTGCTGTCATTCGCTACAGAGGAACTAGCCAAAAGCGTCGGACACACCATCGGAGGGCTTATAAATGCGACGTTTGGAAATGCCGTCGAAATGATTGTAAGTGTCTGGACATTTGATCCGCTGTTGAAGTGCGAAATTGACGTTAGCCATTGCACAGGTGGGAATCACTGCGGTCCGGCAAGGAGAAATCAGCATTGTGCAGTCAAGTATGGTGGGCAGTATCCTTTCAGGAAATCTTCTGGTAGGTTTGGTTTTTTGGTGCATGCTCACTGCCTCGGTTGTCTTGTCTACTTACCCGACATTTAGATCTTCGGTGTTTCCCTGTTCTGCGGCGGCTATGGAAAAGATGTGGTGAAATTCAACGTGGATGTCAGTGGGATCCTATCCTCCTTGATGGTGGTCTCCTCTGCAACATTGATCATTCCATCTGTCCTTTATTCAACCATACCGTCCAAGTCCCACGACGTGCAAGCCAGCGTCCTGGGTCTCTCCCGTGCTGCTTCCGTGGTCCTACTCATATTCTACCTGGTCTACCTCTACTTTCAACTGAGGAGTCACTCCGAGCTATTCCTCGACGATACACAAGAAGAGGAAGAAGATCGAGTGTTGGGTCCCTGGTCGGCAAGCCTCATTTTGATCCTTGCCACTCTTGGGGTCACAGTCTGCTCTGATCGTCTGGTGGACAGTGTCGATGGCTTTGTAGAACGGTGGCACGTGAGCCGGGCTTTCATCGGCTTGATTGTGGTTCCCATTGTCGGTAATGCAGGAGAGTTCAATACTGTTGTGAATTCTTCGATCAAGGGGAACATGGACCTCGCGATTGGTGTGATTGTGGGAAGTACGTTGCAAATCGCATTGTTTGTGAGTCCATTCCTGGTCATGTGTGGCTTGGTTATCGGGCAGCCCATGTCCTTGCGCTACAGTCCCTTCGAAACGGTGGTATTCTTCATCTCGGTAATAATCATGGACTGTTTGATCCGTGGAGGTCGATCAAATTATTACGAAGGATCTTTATTGGTTGGAACGTGAGTGCCTGCAAGAGTGTTCTGGATGCCCTCAGTCCTAATGGTTTTCTTCTAGGTATCTGATAATCGCAATTGCATTCTACGTCCACCCAGACGCAGTCGATGCACCCTTTGTTTAGCATGCTGCAGGGTGGTTACGATAAAATCTTCCCAGACATATCACATTCGGCCAACGTAGGAAATCTAAACCTGTCGCGAATGCCCCAAATATCAGAATATAGAAGCAAACTGATCTTAGAGCCACGGGCATCGACAGCCAAAGTGGAGTCACCTCGTAGGGCTGAAACTTGGCGCTGTGACCAGATGCACCATCTTCAATTTAACCAATCATCTTGATCGGCCCTCTTGACTCGGCTTTTGTCCGGATATTCCGGTGGAGACCGAACCGGAAATTCCAGGTGCAATGCCTCAAATACCTTTGGTATCAGTTCAAAGAAGCCTATCTTCAAGAGACATTCGAGCATCATTCACATCTGCAAGGATAAATTCCCCGGCTCACCGAGGGGGTGATCGGGCTGCAGACTTCCAGTTTTGTTAATTCTCTTAGACTCGTCATCTTGTGATCAGCTGCAGTAATTTGGTCTCACGAAATTATTGCTTAAGATGTTCAATGTCACATGCACCTCAGCTTAAACAGATCCATTTATAGAACTGCATCGCACGCCTTCCAAAGTACTGCCGAAACTTCAGTCAGGTACGATCAATCACAATTGCAGCGCTTAGTGTGGACTCAGAAAGGATGTTTTTCATTTAGGAAAAGTAGTCAACGGCCTGGTGTTTCCATATCCAATTTAGTACACCCCATAGGCTGGTCACCAACCAAAGAGCATCATTTAGCGCTGCGAAATGGCCCAGAATCATGTAGAATGCACCCATGGCCGAGTCACACAGAGTCAGGGCCTTGAGCAGGTCGGGGTATAAGAGTCCCTCCACTCACTCAGTCAAGGTATGTTCCTTTATCCCCCAGGGACCCGTCGACACTATTTTCTGATTGTAATCACATTCTGTGGGATCTCGATCTCTGCTCCCTATTCCTATTCCTACACTCCAGTCTTTCTCATCATGGGTCTTGTAAAGATCTTACTCAAAGTGATCCTCGTCCCAATCGTTATCCTCGTTGTCATTGCTGTCATAGTTTTCCTTCTCATAAAAATGCGCTGCGATCGCAAAAGGAAAGAAACAGAACTGGAGAAATCTTTCCAACCACCCCCTATACAGCAATGGGTGCCGTACGCCCCAGTCCGGCAACCAGCCCCAGCATATGTCAAAACACCGGGAGCGATGGAGCAAGGAATCGGAAATAGACCTTAATGGACTTTTCTTTTGTTTGGTAAGGATGTATTCAAAAGGATATTGATTATATTTGCTAACTGAGTGCTGGAAACTATTTCAGGCAACACACCATGGATGGACCGCCTCTACAAATTGAGGATTTTGTGTGAATTCTTGTCATTGAACGTTTAACTATTGATTCAAAATATAAGGGCAGATACATTGAATGCATTAGCAGTCATTGCACCTGTGTGGGTGGCTCTGTTTCACACTGCTGAAACTTGCACGACCTAGAGAGAACACCAATATTAATCCATGGCATCTTTGCTGTCGAAATGCAGCCTGTACATGGAATTCTGCGCTGTGTGATTGTGCACCTGTTAGGTTAGGAGTGTAGGTTATACGCGATATACAACGCCACGAGTCAGCAAGTCCAAAGGCCATTACCATCTTATGGCGTTGGTATTCTCCAAGTGGCGGGTACGGTACCCAAGAGTCTTGAGGCGAAAAATGATATTTGCCTCCGGGGATGGTGTCATTTACGAGACCAGTCAGGCTACTTTCACTGGCTATTTGCCCGAAGCGCTAGTCTAGAGGGCTCACCAGGTGGCCCTTTCCCCGTAGATTGTGTCAACTAAGCCTGGGCGCTCTTATGAAAGTGGCGGTAGCTCAGATATCTTACATAGATTTATATACCCCAGATGTAGAAAAGTGACTCCAGACTTTGCATCTCGTGGGATCCGCGTGTGGACCAGCCAGATAGATTCAAGGTACAAAGAACCCCTTGATGAATGATGCATGGACGAATAAGGATTTCATGTGATCATTGTAATCATTATGGGAGAATCGCAGAGTGCATTACATTGACATGAAAGTAGATGTTCACGCGGTCCTAACTTAAGACATTAAAGTCGCAAAAGAGAAGAGTTGATCTCAAATTCAATCCAACAGAACTAATGGCGTCCCAAGGTACAAAAGACCTGCTGGTCACCACAATAGTCTGCCCCGACCATAATTTCAGGTCCCCAAGATCCAAACCACAACGACCGCAAATCCATGGTGAGAAACAAGCAGGATCGAAGCAGGACAATTTTAAAAGGAGACTTGCTCAATGGTGTCACGACGCAGAACCTCGGCGTCTTCAGGCAACAAAAATCCGGCTTCAATCTGTCGCTGGATAGCTTCTCCCGCTTGACGACGATAGTTGGCTACCGTTTTGTAAATAGCCCACAATTTGACATCTTTAAAAGGGACCTCGGTGCCTTTCAATATATCAACTAGGTTAGACCAATTGAAAAGGAATATCGGGGACATGAGAGAATTACCAGTGTGCCAATGCGGATGTGGCTGAGGGGTCACATCAATGATCTTGGCAGTAGGGACGTCTGTATGAACGGTTCTGACTCCAGCAAGCGCATTTCCATACTCATCTCGCTCAACCTCCCCGGAAACGTCGATTTCAATCGTGGTACCACGCGGGGGAGCAACGCCCGTCGTTATCCATTTGTTCATAGCACCGAAGAGAGCATGGTAAACAAAGGAATTGGCAAATGTGCTCCACTGGGCGCCTTCCAGATCAATAACCGACAGACGCTTCTTGTCGGCCATGGAGAGGTATCGAGTCTCGCGATGAGACATACCTGAAACTTCGTAGAGCCGGAATGATCTGCTATCGGCACGGCGATGGGGAAGGTTCTCGCTTCCGTCGTAGAGTGCTTTGATATAAATGAGTTCGAATTCACCTAAAACCTCAATAATCTTTGCATCGCGCAAATCTGGAAGTGGGTTTCCACCATCGCATTGGCATGGCATGAATCCCTCAAATGGGGTGCCTCCATCGGGAAGTCGGAGATGGGTAGACTCGACGATGAACTTTCTTATCAAGTCTGCAGTTTGTGAAAGACCAGTCAGCACGACGTTCTCGGCCTTGAGACTTAGCTGTCCTGATCTCAAGGCATGTGATGCAGCTACAAGAATCTCCGGCGACTGCAAAGTGGCAGCCCACCACCTTTCCTTGAAGATCCTGTAGTTATCCCACAGCTCTTCGGCATTAGAGAAGGTGGGGATCTTGCTAGAGAACTCCTCCAGGGTACGACAAGGGATAAAGTGCATGTCTTTGTAGCGTTCGGGATCAACGTTTTTGATCTGGTCAATTGCCGCGGGTGCCTGCGAATCAACTTCCAGCCAGGCATGGCCTTTCGACTATTAGCTCAGAAAACGGGTCAAACTAGAACGCATGACAACTCACCATTGCGCATCAGCCATCGATTAATGAGGCGCCATATGGTTGTTCCACCCCACAGATGAGATGGTTCCGCGATAACGAGACCGGAAAATTTGCTAGGATCCGCAGGGCGACGAAGAAGAAGGCGTGTGCAGTACGAGTTGGCAACGGCAATGCCGGTCATCAGATATTCCTGGGAGACGAAATCATACACAGGAAGCAAGTCACTGTGATGGAGGTCATATGTGACGATCTTGGATGTTTCGGTCTCGGGTAGGAAAGAGACACTTGGCTTTGTAACTCTCACGTGCATTCCGCGTTCTTCCTCAGTTGCCATCTTGCCCGGCGTAATCTGTTCGTCTCTATTATGCTAAGGCTGCTGTTTTTTAGTTCTCCGAGTCTCAAATGGAGCATAGGGACACTCGGCACGTGTGATGCTTAGACGGACTCACGAACTAGGGTCAACAGTGACACGTGATGAATCGCGTCAGTTGGGTCAAGCTCGTGTTGGCCTTGCCTGAATAGGCCGGTGTCATTGAGAGTCGAAAGGAACACCGAAAGAAAAAAGAGGGAAGTGGAAGAGAAAAAAAAACCAAACTCGTCGATGAGGAAAGGTGGGAAGAGGACGGGTTGGAAGCTGGGACAAACAAAAAGACCACACCTTCCTCAAAAGCAGAGATATTCAAAAGACCAGGAGAGGTAAAGACATGTGTTCGTCATTTTTTCATCTAAATCAACACGAATATTTAAACTGCCAGATGGAGCACGTTCGAGAATTGGATTAGTTCAATATTTTACCAGACCGAAGAATATCTGCAGAATTTACACCAGCAAATCGAGCACATCCAGCCCCCAGAACCACTGTGAAATACCCATAGCCCCAACACTCATAGTCGCAGCCATGAGGAGGTTGACGCCATTGTTATCTAGCCAGTCGTGACCAGTTTCAAGACAACGACTTTCCTGAGTTTCCTCGGGGACATGTGTCACCTGGATGCCACGCAATGCAGCGTTGTGAATGCTACCAGTGGTTTTGGCAGTGCGATCACCAGTAAGAACCGACTTACCAGTGGAAGGGTGAATGAGAACCTAGAAAACTGGATTAGAACGTTGGAAACAGTGACCAGGGACACACAATCGTGAACTCACCTTCCTGCCACCATTCCCCTCTACAACCTTCCCGCTCCTCTTATCGACAACACTAGCCTGCAAAAGTCCACCAAGAACACTATCAAGGACACTACCCAATGTACCCCAAAGAGTCAAAGCGACGGTCCACAGAGCCCGATCCTTTAATCCGGCACTAGCGCAGAACGGAAGTACTGCAGCAGATGTCGCGGAAACAATGAACGACCCCAGAAGACCAGCCCCAAGACCAGTCGCGGTAACGCCACCATTTGTACCGGGAGGGACTTGACGTAGACTCAACGAAGTAATCAGGCGGGGTTTAGATTTCGAGAGAATGCCGAGCTCGGAGGAGAAGGTGTCTGCAGCGACAGCGGCGTAGTTTCTGCGGAGAGGAACATATTAGTTACATGATCTAGAAGAGAGGGAGTGCAGATATGGAATGTGAGATTGAGTGACTTACGCTACAATTCCGACGATTAAGATGTCAGCTGCATTCTGGCCGAGTGAGAAACATGATTTAGGGCCCGCTGTGTGGGCCAGAATAATCGCATGAGCGATTGACAATATGGTAGCGACAATGGAGTTTGCCAGAACTTGGAGATGGTTCCGGGGGCCTTCGCCGCCTGCTGTGCCGGTTGCCGAAAGTGTCAGACGAGACTTGACCTCTTGTTTTACCTGTCATCGCGATCTTGTAAGCTGCGCCCACGACATAGGATGTAGGCCGAAAATGTGACAACATGCAGCTTCGCTCGACATGTAGGTAGCTTCATACCTTTGTGACCTTAGTCCCGCCAAGATAGAATACTGCAAGAAGCGCGACTGGTGCCGACCATGGATGGAGAGCGTGTGCAAAGGCTGAACATCCCGCAACTACCAAACCGAGCGAGGTAAGGGACTTGCGCGACCAAGCTCGATAGACGAGTCCAAGCACAAGAGGTATAGCTATATATGGTTGCATTTCGTTGGTCTTGTGAGCTCGAGTACCGTCATCTGTTGGGATAGATGGTGAGGTTGAAGAGGCGTAAATGAAGAGGCACGGAGCTTGGGTGGAGTCCGAGATAAGACCATCCGCGAAGGGGCCAAAGGTCCAATGCCTGATTTGCAGGGTTGATGCCTTGAAACGCCCGAATTCTAGACCGCCTTCGACACCGCTCTATGCCGTGTACTGTGAATTGAAGCTATTTCCTACCACAGATACAAACTGCTATTCCTGCCCTACAAATCATCAATTTCTTCGAATCCCCGGCGCTAAAAATCCGATCCTGGAATTCTAGGATTTATCTAGCGTCAATAGCTTCATTTTCTCACCAGAGAGATTTGGTCGATCGCAATAGCTTCAACGCCTAAAAGTAGGTATATATAAGGGATTTGTGTGGGGGAATATTAGCTTTGATCTGTGAAAAGAGAGATTTTGCTTGTTAAGCCTCCTGTCATCGTGATTCAGGTATTTTTCTGACAGTCTAAAAGTGAGGCATAACTCAGGCATCAAACCCTGCAAATCAGGCATTGGACCTTTGGCTACTCTGCCCTTCGCAACCATCACATGATACCTTACAATTGAAGGACTGGACAACAGCAACAAAAGCAAAACTAGAGATTGCGAAGATTGTGTGGCTCAATTGTGGGCTATGATCTATTGGAGTTGGATGAACCCACCCAGCAAAGAGCGTAAAGCTCTTGATGGCGTCCGAACAAGGAAACAAGCCCCCCTGTAGGCGGAATAGAAAAAAAAAAATATTCTACCAGAAGGATGTTCCCCAAATCAATCAGTATCAATATTTAAGTAGGTATGGTATGTTCCGAGTCAATGTATAAACATCAAAAAAGTGTGCGCCTTTTCGCTCCTCGGGGTATGTCCAAAATCCAGGAAAATTAGTATACAGAACAAAAATCAAATCAAAATCAATGGCCAAGAAAACGGTAGCAAATCCAAAAGCGAAAAGAGAAGTTGCAGCTGTAAAGACCTCGGCATTTACTCGGCGGTCTGATCAAAGTGCGAGGCCGCTGCCGTCGCCGCTCCAGCGGTAAAGGGCTAGCACCTCGCGCCTCCGGGACTGTTGCTCGCCGAAATCCTCTGGGACACGGCCGCGGACTTGAGCCAGTGCCGAGCGCATCACTTTTCGGAACGTTCTCTGTAGAAAATTAGCTTCTGCGAATGTCAGCCTTGTTCAGGGGGAAACCATACCTGATATTCAGTGTTCAAAGTCACCACGCAGGCCTCATGCGCTCGTACGATTGTTTCGCAGGCTCGAACAACACTGGGACTGGCATCTCCTTGTAGTTTATCTGCAGTCAAGAGTAGCAAGAAGCTACCTTGCAAAAGATATATGCCAAAGAAGAAGGGCATGAAGCTCAAATCGGGGTCATATTCCAAAATGTCCGAGGCCGCCTCAGCAGAGCTGACTGCATGGCCCATGGCAGTGATAAACGACTCAGAAGAGATCCAGAGATCGTTATCGTCAAGCAGGTTGATAGGATCCCACTTTCCAGTCAGCAGAATGTGGAGCACATGCATAATGTGAGTGCCATAGGCAACCACCATCTTCGTATGAACAATGGACTCGCTCACATGTGATCCTACTGTGCTACTTGAACGACCCGAGGGACTGACGTGGTTGATATTGGAGCCTTCCCTTGTGGTGTCAGGCTCACCAGTCCCGAGAGTGATAGAGCTGGTACATCGAGCCTCGAACTCTTTCAGGCTCTGGGCGTAGACATCGAGCTGGCAGCTGATTTCCATTGCCTGACTTTCCCACTCGCCGCTGTTCCGAAAATGAAGACCGAAGCGAGGGTGGTTACGGGCATGTTGTAGATCCACAATCTCACCCAGGATGGACATCAGGGGCAAAAAATATCCAAACATGCTATGGCCAGTGCATTCCGATGATGGGCCAGCACGGCGATAGTTGAGAGAAGAAAAGTCGCCCGCTTGCCAGATGTCGTCGTTCATCGGCTGCAACAATCCCTCGCACTCTTTATCCAGCAAAGTCAAGGGTCGATTGTAACAAAGCGCCAGATGGCGATCTGTCGCATACAATAGCCACCAGATCCGCCGACGCTCCTCGCGTTCTTCCTCTGTGAGATTATTCACAGAGTTGCTTGGACCGTGGCCCAGTAAAGAAGACGGTTGCCTTTTGTTGCCATTCACATCAATATCCCCCTCACTATCCATTTCGCCGTCTTGACGGGTCGTCGCATTAGGCGGTAGTTCGCGGCCGAGTTTCAACTCTCGCGCGAGAGACCAGGCAGCTGTCCACCATCGCATACTTGCAGCCTTATATTCACTAGCAGACACGACAGTCGCCAAGTGAACATATGTAGCGACGTCATCCACTGCGCCAGTGGCACTACTCTGAGCACCCAGTTGATCCATGGAGACCCCAAAGCCACCGAGAGCCACCCCGTTGATCACCATATTAGCTGGATAATTGGGAGATGTTTCTCCAGTGGCAGGGCCATGGATTAGTGGCCGTAGTAAGCCAATAGTCAGCTCCAGAAGCTTTTGGCAGACTCGGCCTCGAGCTGAGGGGGGAGATGTCAAAAAAGCAGCTTCACTTGTTTGAGCTGCAACCCACAGCATGCTGGCAAGAAGTCCAGGGGTGCACGATCGCGGCTTTGTGGGATGTAGGAACGATTGCTTGCGGAAGACATAGCCAACCACATAGGGCGATGACGGAGAAAGATGTGAGGATGATGAGCTAGTGAAAAAGACATCAAGGAGATCGCAGGCGAGAGATTGAGGGATAATAGACATGATATGCGGAAGGACTGGTTGCAAGACCGGGTATCTCAATGAGCTGGAGAAAGGGGGCATACTGAAGGAAGGGAAGTTTGCGGGTGATGGGGAAGGGAGTGGCAACCAGCTAGGCGACTGCGCTGGAGGAGAGAAGCCCATAAAAGAAGCAGATGCGTTATCCGTCGAGTTTCCAATGCGGAAGTGGTTCATGGAGCTCGGATTCGCGTCTTGCGCATTCATCAAAGGATATGCACCATCGCTATACCCCGCAAACCCTTGAGGTTGAAGCATTGAAACCGGCGACCGAGGGTTCCCAGTTGAATTTTGCATCATTTGTATGGAGCGCATATCCGACACGGACATCAAGGGTCGGTGGGGTTCTTGGAGTGTTGCGTAGTTATTAAATGGCATGCCCGCCATGTTGGAACCCATCTGCTGCTGAGAAGGTGGTTGGACAGACGCTTGATTTTGTCGCATGGAAGATAAGCCAGCCATCTCCGTGTTGTGCAACCGAGATTGTGCGCCTTCAGCTAAAGTCCGCGCGACATCAAAGGCGCGATCGTAATGCTCGTTGGATTCATGCAGAGACTGTCCATTCGAAGACTGTCCTTTGACATACGTATTGTTTTTGTCGCCGCCTGCATCACTTTCGGTAATTCCAGTAGCGGCTATATCCTTTTTCGACGCTTTCCCACGCTTCTTGCGCTCGCGGGCGTACTCGCAGCTTAGTCCAAACTCTGGGAACTGTCAGTTCAACCAATGCGCAAATAGAGAGAGTCCGCTGGAAGGAAACCCGTACCAACACAAGGCACAGGGGTTATGGCCATCACATTTGGTTCGCAATTGATTGCACTGGTCGCAGGCCCGGCTAATTCTTCGACGCGCCGGTGTGGCAGATGAATTTTTGCGAATAGCGGAGCGCGCCTCAGCAAGGGAGTCACGCAGTTCAGGATCCTTCAGACCTGAGTTGGAATCGTTGTTTTCGCTAAAGAGGACATGATGGGAATGTTGTAACGTCTTCAAGGCGAGATTGTTACTAGGGTCGGTCGGTAGGTCGGCAGCATTAGCCTCACGTGCTAGCTGGAGCCGTTCCAGCGCATATTGCGACCCCTCCGCAAGTGTGTCCAGCCCGTGTGATTGGGATTGTGTCATCCGTTCGGCTTGAGACGAAAAGGGAGAGTACAAATTGGCAGAGGAGAGGGAGGTCATCGACATGCTTCTCCGAGAAGGCGAAAACAGGGCTATGGAGACATAGAGGTACAGACCAATGGCATCTGGAATCTCTAGTCTATCAGATACAAAATTCCTGAGTCAAAGGTAGTAAATAGGGCGACCGAGAAGTCACAACGGCATTGCAGAAAGATGCGGAGAGAACGGCGAGTCGACCTCGGGCCTTTTTTTTTCTCCCCTCAGCGCTGCAAAGCTAGAGTTTCGCACAGTTTAGAAAGCCAGAGGCAAAGGATCAGAAAGATCAGACAAAACAAAAAGTCCCAACAAAAAACGGGAAGATCAGAAAAGTGAAGATTAAAAAAAAAAAAAAACAAGAATATCCTTAGAGAAGATCTGGGGAAGTTGCAAAGGCGGGGGGGGGTCAGCGGCACGTGGTACGATGTCACGATGTGGTGTATAAAAAGTAGCTCTCTCTTTCTTTCTTTCTCTCTTCTATCCATATCAATTAAACCCTTTTGATAACGTATGTTCAGACCTCAAACTTGTCTCTAGCCCCATAGATGCCTTTTGTTTCAACTGAAATTGTAGAGTCTCGTTTCGGCCTTCGCTTATATCCGTGATCCCCACATTTTCTCCCGAACATCCTAGTTGTCCACGACTGTAAACACCGCTGCCTCTGTCTTCCAGCCCCAGAGAAATTCGAATGAGTACAGGTAAATCTGTTGTGAAACTAAGTCTGATTTCGGACCTGAATCCTTTCATCTGGCCACGGTTAT